CCCCCCCCCCCCCCCCCCCCCCCCCCCCCCCCCCCCCCCCCCCCTTGCGTAAAAAAAAAAACACCGCCGTTCAGAAGGAGGCCGAGAAGTGGGTCTACCCGTCGGAGCAGCAGTACTACAACGCCATCAAGAGGAAGGGGTACAAGGCCTCGGCGGCAGACATGCCGTCCACCCTGGCTATCCACAACGCCGTGAACGAAAAGGGGTGGGAGATGGTTCAGGAGTGGGAGAGGGCTCGCGCCGAGGCCGCCGCAGCTGCGAAGCCCGCCGCCGAGGGAGGGGGGGGCGACGGCGACGGTGTCCCAGCAGCCCCCAAGTTGCTCCGCTTCACGGGGAGGCCGCAGGATACATCGCCGAAGGCTTGGGTCAAGTCGACCCTTCTCGGCTACCGTCCCCCGTTCGACAGGTAGACCACATGCTGTGTGTTGGCTTCATGCTGTCAACGGTGTGGGTGTCAGTTCACCTCGTTCTAGGTAAAGTTTTTTTTATGGGGGGGGGGGGGGGCATTGGGAATGAGCAGCCATGACGCGCTTGTTTGTTTCGCCCCATCCCACCCCACCCACATGTCTCATTTCTCGTGCGCTTCCCCCTCCCCGGCAGACACGATTGGGTGGTGAAGAGGGCAGACGGCACCGAGGCACGGTACGTGATCGACTTCTACGCGGGAAAGGCTCCCCCCGGCTCCAGCATGCCGGTAGCGATGCACTTGGACGTGCGGCCCGCTCTCGATTCCTACGATGTAAGTCGGCCAGTTTCGTGCCAGGTACTTTTTCCATGTCGTTGGTTCATGTTGTCTACTTTGTCATCAGTTGTGTCTGCCTTCGAAGGCTTGCCGTCACGGCGCGTGCATGTCGGTCACCGCAAACGTTGTCATCGGACGGCCTTGTTTGGCGGCGACGATGTGCCCAGATATGGAGGCCAATCGTTCCCTAGGATATCTTCATCCACGCAGGGAGCAATAACTCCCTCATCAAGGCGAGGTTCGAGACAACCACAAAGCGAAAGAGTCAACTCTTGCATCGATCGCACGGTCATTGTGATGCATGCATATGTCTTTCTTGCGTTGCACGCGAGAACTGCACGAGCTCTCATGTTTATCCCCCCGACGGTGTTTCCGCTCGCAAGACAAGACGACTCTCCCCCGTTATACTTTTTTCTCTGTTTGGCAAGAGACCGTCACTGTTGCTTCCCTCCCCTTCTTTTGTTTTATTGTGTAGCAAGCATAGACCAATGACCGCTGCTTCCCTTCCCAAAATGTGGATGGTGCCGTTTGTCATCCGAACTGGGACACACTTAAGGCGGTCGTGGACCGGACGCGGATGTTCTACAGCAGGGAGGTCCGCCCCTACCTTGCCGGGGTGCTGAACGCCTTCAAGAACGACCCAGGGCCGCCGCCGTCGGATCACGATGCGCCGCCGCCGCCGCCCTCCGTGGCGCGGTGACACGGCGTGGGACTGCTGTGCTTGATGCTGCTTCTGCTTCTGCTGCTGCTGCTGCTGCCGCTGTCAACAGCTCGGGGGTACTCCAGCTCTTGTTTGCCTGAGAGCGTTGTTGCTGTTGTTGCCGCTGCCATGAAATTGTTTTCCTGGGGGGGGAGGGTGCCGTGTACATGGAACATATACTATTTTTTGTGGGCGAACATTGCCCCGGATAGCTGTTACTTGTGTCACTCAATCCCTGGATGTATGGCGGGGCAAAACAAGCACATTAAGTTGACGGTTGGACCCGTGCGTCTATCTCCTTCTGCCGCCACGCGTGTGTTGTGTTGAAGCAGCTAGCTATTTACGCCAAGCATGAGACCACGCCCCGCGAACCGATCTCACGACCACCACCGTGCGGAAGGGGGCGCAACAATTGAAATTTGGCGATTTTCCCCTCGTCCCAGTGCTTCGATTTATAGCGTCTATCCATCGCCACCCAACACGGTCGACGTCGCCTGTGTATCACAAGGGGGGGCAGCTTCGAGGACGCCTGCACGTATCCGGCCGACTCAAAAACTACAGACAGATGGACAAACAATCGTTCGCGTTTAATCCGCCGTCAGCGTAGCTGATGCCTTGGAATGTTGCCTTGCTTCCGCGGAAACTTTCCTTTCTGTGATGGTACGCTTCGCCTCATGTCGTCTATTTAGTCCACAGAAGGAACAGCGGCGTGTCGGAACAACTCCGGCACAATCCTCTGGCAGTCCCTTTTCTCGATACACATCGTCTGGCCTCTGCTTTTTCCCACTTGTGGCGGCCGGCCATGTACCACAGCCGCGGGTGCAATGAACGGCGGTCGACTGCACCGCTCACCCGAAAGACTTTTGAGGGAGAAGCCGAGCCATCCATACTACGGAGTACTACAAAAAGTTTTGGCAGTATTTTTAGCGGTTGTGCTTGGGAGGGGGACAAAAGTACATCGAAAATGCTGCATAGATGCGACCGCGATGTCGTGCGTTCTTATTGGCGACACCTCTCGAAGAAATCTCTTCGAAACCACTTACTACGCCGAATCCCCACGGATTTCAGATATCACGCAAGCCACGATCGGGCCATGGTCTGTTTCCCTTCGCTCACTCGTGATGGGAGTCGTTGCCACCGCGTGTGGAAAAGACATCGTAGTTATGGGGTTACATGCTAGCCCCCCTCCCCGCAGTAACCTCTCTGTCTGGTGATTGGTGATGGCTTCTGTCTTCAGCGCCTCCCATGACAAGGAGTACAACCCGAAGCTGCACCTTGACATTTTCGTGCGACTTGGCCTTCCTCCGGGTTCAAGCAAACAAGACTCGTGCATACCGGGGGATACGTCTCTTGGCCATCGGGTGAACCCTGAAGGGATAATCTGCGTCGAGGATTCCCGAAGGTCGCAGTCGTAGTCTGTTTGTCGCTTGCTCGGAGGATTTTTGGAGTCATTGGCGCTCGTGCGCGAACGCCTATTTTCATCAAACGGGTGTGCCAGGCGAGAATCTTGCGCGTTTTCTATAGTTGTCCTTTACGGTAGGATGAAGTCGTTATGAGGGACAAATAAAAAACGAGTTTCCCCCGTTGTGTGAAAAGAGGGAATCAACCCGTCCGTGTATTTTTCAACCAAAAGCAGACACTCTGACCACTCTATCGATGCCATTGCGAAGAGAGGGAGTCAACCTCGACAGACGCTGGGGAGATAGTACTTAAGGAAGAGGGTGGTCTCCTCAGTTGGGCGATTTGAAATTTTCCTTTTTGAAGGCTCTCCCGCGATCCTGTCTCGCTGAAGCTGAAACCGGCGGCGTTTCCCGGCAAGGTGGCAAGGACGACACGCGAATGCACGTTGATGTGTATCGTGCTCGGCCTGGTTGGAGATATTCACACACGAAAGCGACGTTGTGATTGGTAGTTTTGAGCGCTGTTCACGAAGAACGGCTTGGGCATGAGCAGCAATTGTTGAACCAAACACCAAACACTGTAACCTGCTATTAATATGGCTTACGATTTAGTGCTGTAGCAGTTTGACGTCAGACTTTTCGTGGAAAACGCACTCTTGCGTGTGTGTTGATAACTACGCTGCAGTTTACACCGATCAGAGCTCCGTGTTTCGCAAGACTTGACATCAGCAACCGCCTGAAGTGTCTTCACCCAGCCATCGAGCAACATGACGGAGCTGAAAATTGAATCGGGGTGTTCAAGATCGCGCTCTTGGCCCCGAAAAGCCGACGGAGACAAACAAAGATGATGAATTCACCAGGTGGACCCTGTCGCCATCAACACGAATGTTATACCCGACGAGCAAGCACAGGAACAGAAGCTGACTGCTGTGACGAGTTGGCGCGAAGCAATCAAGGCCTTCACTTCAGCCATATAATTTTTTTTGGGTTAAGCAGGCCCGGGCAAAAGCGACCACAAAGACGGTCGACTGCACGCACGCACGCTGGGATGCTCACACTTCATTCAATCTTCCTGTCGTTACAAGTTGTCGACCGCCTCAGTAGTTCACGTTTTGACGTGTTCAACAGGAACGAACGTGGTTTTACGATGCCTGAAGCAAAACAGTCACTCATTGTAGCGGGCCTTTTCTTACACGCCCTTTCGATTGAGCCAATATCTCCAACGGGTACAGAACGCGCCCACCCTTACGAACCCAGGTGCTAAAGAAGAATTGAGCCTGAAGAAAAATCAAAATGTAAGAACTTGAGCACCATTTGTGAGCTCGCTAAACTAAAACCTATATGGCGACCATTCGTATACAATGACCCTTAGAATACAGTAACAACCCCACCCTCGGCCGAACCATAAATGAGGTTCTTTAAGTGCGGGCGCGTCCGGTAGTCTTTTCCCGTGATTGTGTGTACAGTGGGGGTCCCTGTTTAGTGCCGGTATGCACCCAGAAAATTCGCCGGCACTATACCGGACCTGCACAATTCAAAGTACTGACATTGACTTGGAAATTCAGTGTGTACCCGCCGAAAACACCGGCACTATGTCTGGCATTGGCAATATTCCACCATGCGTTTGTGTTGAACAATGGGTGGCTGCAGAGAAAGCACAATGCCGCCCCGCGGGGCTCCATCGTTGAGATATCGGGCTCGAAGCGCGCGCTGGCAGTGTTACCAACATCCGAGAGGCGTGAAAGCACCACCGTCGCACAGCTGCGAACCACTGCCGAATCGCGCGTGTGAAATTCGCCACGGCAGCGCTGGAGTGCAGTTACGCGGTTGACCCACCTATACGAGACACAAATAAAGCAGTTTGATCACATGAACACCATAATCCGCCTCCTTGGGTTCTCCCCCAAAACACTTCTTGTTCATCTTGCATGTCATACGAATTGCTTTGGGCCCTCCCAAGAAAGCGAACAAAACAGCAGACACAGTAGATACTACACCCAACAACAAACTACTGCGACAAAAACACCGAAAGTAAAAGCGGGTACCGCGCGGCTGGCTGTCCGCCGCGGGGATCATCCTCCTCGCGGGAAAAAGTCCACCTAACCCCCCATCACGCGCAGCGACGCATCTTCCTCCCTACAAGGACGAGCAAATAACACTCCAGATGGCGGCGTTGTTGGCCGCTCGATCCCCTACGTCAGGCAGCAACAACGACACCACGTGTTTCATCCATGATCCCGGCATGATCCGTTAATGTAGAGCAAGACCGGCCAAGCGAGTGACGCTATGCATGCAAAAATGCAACATCCCTACACACACATGTAGTGTTCAAAGAAAGGGCAATAATAGCAAAAAAGACTTTCAATCGTGCAGCAGTCAGGCAGTGACCTTTGGCGGGAGGCGACTCCTACAAACGGTTAAAATGAAAACTCGGAATGAAAGACAGACAAACAGAAGCAGGTCGCGTAGGAGACGAGAAACAGACTCCCAGGCCAGAGCTCTTCTGCCTTGGCCCCCCTGGCGGACGTGGTGACAATCGACGCATCTCGTGCCGAGACGGCACGAGTTGCGCCGCACTACGGGTTGGGTAGGTGCGGCCTTTGGGACTGAGAGTATGGTACGCTGGGACGCACCTTGTGTTGACTGCGGCCGCCCTGTGCCATCAACGAAAAGCCCCAAGGAGAAAATAACACAGAGGAGACGCAGCTATCGGGAACAACAACAACACCACCTGTTGCGTGTGACGGACACCCCGACACCAGCGAGGACGTAGCAGATCGGAAGAAAAAGAAGAACGCCCACGCCACACACGCACACACCACTCGGAACGTGCGCACAAGAACACGACAA